CAACGTCCAATGAGCTGATTAGATTTTGGGCAGAGTCGGAACATCTGGGGGGGTACTTTATAGGGGGTCATTTTTATATTTTATGGAATATATCTGTTATTTACGTTTGGAGAAGAAAATTCTTTAAATAAAAGTTACTTCTAATATAATTGTCTATAATTTTTGTTCTATGCAAAATTTTCCTAAAATGGTCCGTATTCGAGAAATTTGACAAAATGTAAAAAAAATTATTTTTTATAAAAATTGTTCAAATAAAAGTTGTTTGTAATATAATTCTCTTTAATTTTTATTCAATACATAATTTCTCTAAAATGGACCGTATTCGAGATATTTGAGAAAATGTGTAAATTTCGAATTTTGAAGAAAACTCAAAAACGGATAAAGAAAAAAACATTAAATTTTAAACTTAAGGTTTATTTCGGCCTGACGTGAAATGATTGGATTTTGGACATAGTCGGAACATCTGGGGGGGGGTACTTTATGGGAGGCCACTTTTATATTTTATGGAATATATCTGTTATTAATGTTTGGAGAAAAAAATTGTTCAAATAAAAGTTACTTCTAATATTATTATCTATAATTTTTGTTATATGTAAAAATTTCCTGAAATGGTCCGTATTCGAGAAATTTGACAAAATGTGCAAAATTCTGATTTTTATGAAAGTTTCTGAAATAAAAGTTGTTTGCGATATCGATCTCTATAATTTTTGTTTATACATGATTTTTATAAAATGGACCGTAATGAAAAAATTGTAAGAAATTTAAATTTTTCAGTATTTTCGTTTTCCATGAATATCTATAGAAAAATGTTTCGAGGTAGATGTATGTGGACAATGTATATATTTAGTTTATCCTCTAAACATTTATAGAGATGCTGCAATAGGTTGTACAAAATAACAGGAAAAAGCCTTTAATAACTAGATAGGAAAGTCATGTGTTGGACACATCAGATTTTTACTTTCCTATCTGTATACAGATATAAGGAAAGTATAGGAATCATGATTTTTTTCGACCTTGAGTTTTCGACGGATTTTTACGTTTTGAGGTCCCCTGAATCCGTTTTGACTATTTTCGCGATGATGTCTGTGTGTGTGTGTGTGTGTGTGTGTGTGTGTGTGTGTGTGTGTGTGTGTGTGTGTGTGTGTGTGTGTGTGTGTGTGTGTGTGTGTGTGTGTGTGTGTGTGTGTGTGTGTGTGTGTGTGTGTGTGTGTGTGTGTGTCTGTGTGTGTGTGTGTGTCTGTGTGTGTGTGTGTGTGTGTGTCTGTATAACGCATAACTCATGAACCGATACACAGAAAAACACCAAATTTTAAACTTAAGCTTTGTTTCAGCGTCTAATGAGCTGATTAGATTTTGGGCAGAGGCGGAACATTTGGGGGGGTACTTTATAGGTGGTCATTTTTATATTTTATGGAATATATCTGTTATTTACGTTTGGAGAAGAAAATTCTTTAAATAAAAGTTACTTCTAATATTATTATCTATAATTTTTGTTCCATACAAAATTTTCCTAAAATGGTCCGTATTCGAGAAATTTGACAAAATGTAAAAAAAATATTTTTTTATAAAAATTGTTCAAATAAAAGTTGTTTGTAATATCATTCTCTATAATTTTTATTCTTTACATAATTTCTCTAAAATGGACCGTATTCGAGATATTTGAGAAAATGTGTAAATTTCGAATTTTGAAGAAAACTCAAAAACGGATGAAGAAAAAAACATTAAATTTTAAACTTAAGGTTTATTTCGGCCTGACGTGAAATGATTAGATTTTGGACAAAGTCGGAACATCTGGGGGGGTACTTTATGGGAGGCCGTTTTTATATTTTATGGAATATATCTGTTATTTATGTTTGGAGAAAAAATTGCTCAAATAAAAGTTACTTCTAATATTATTATCTATAATTTTTGTTTTATGTAAAAATTTCCTGAAATGGTCCGTATTCGAAAAATTTGACAAAATGTGCAAAATTCTGATTTTTATGAAAATTGTTGAAATAAAAGTTGTTTGCGATATCGATCTCTATAATATTTGTTCATACATGATTTTTTTAAAATGGACCGTAATGGAAAAATTGTAGGAAAAGCGCTAAATTTAAATTTTTCAGTATTTTCATTTTCAATGAATATCTATAGAAAAATGTTTCGCGGTAGATGTATGTGGACAATGTATATATTTAGTTTATCCTCTAAACATTTATAGAGATGCTGCAATAGGTTGTACAAAATAACCTGAAAAAGCCTGTAATAACTAGATAGGAAAGTCATGTGTTGGACACATCAGATTTTTACTTTCCTATCTGTATACAGATATAAGGAAAGTATAGGAATCATGATTTTTTTCGACCTCGAGTTTTCGACGGATTTTTACGTTTTGAGGTCCCCTGAATCCGTTTTGACTATTTTCGCGATGATGTCTGTCTGTCTGTCTGTCTATCTGTCTGTCTGTCTGTGTGTGTGTGTGTGTGTGTGTGTGTGTGTGTGTGTGTGTGTGTGTGTGTGTGTGTGTGTGTGTGTGTGTGTGTGTGTGTGTGTGTGTCTGTATAACGCATAACTCATGAACCGATACACAAAAAAACACCAAATTTTAAACTTAAGCTTTGTTTCAGCGTCCAATGAGCTGATTAGATTTTGGGCAGAGTCGGAACATCTGGGGGGGTACTTTATAGGTGGTCATTTTTATATTTTATGGAATATATCTGTTATTTACGTTTGGAGAAGAAAATTCTTTAAATAAAAGTTACTTCTAATATAATTATCTATAATTTTTGTTTTATGCAAAATTTTCCTAAAATGGTCCGTATTCGAGATATTTGAGAAAATGTGTAAATTTCGAAATTTGAAGAAAACTCAAAAATGGATAAAGGAAAAAACATTAAATTTTAAACTTAAGGTTTATTTCGGCCTGGCGTGAAATGATTAGATTTTGGACAAAGTCGGAACATCTGGGGGGGTACTTTAAGGGAGGCCGTTTTTATATTTTATGAAATATATCTGTTATTTATGTTTGGAGAAGAAAATTGTTTAATTAAAAGTTACTTCTAATATTATTATCTATAATTTTTGTTCTATGTCAAAATTTCCTGAAATGGTCCGTATTCGAGAAATTTGACAAAATGTGCAAAATTCTGATTTTTATGAAAATTGTTGAACTAAAAGTTGTTTGCGATATCGATTTCTATAATTTTTGTTTATATATGATTTTTCTAAAATGGACCGTAATGGAAAAGTGCTAAATTTAAATTTTTCTGTATTTTCGTTTTCAATGAATATCTATAGAAAAATGTTTCGAGGTAGATGTATGTGGAAAATGTATATATTTAGTTTATCCTCTAAACATTTATAGAGATGCTGCAATAGGTTGTACAAAATAACCGGAAAATGCATATAATAACTAGATAGGAAAGTCATGTGTTGGACACATCAGATTTTTAATCTTAGAGGGCAATATGTACGGTAGTAGAAATATCGTATGCAGTTCGTATGTAAAGCCGTTTTTTGAAGGCCACTTTATACACTTATTATAAGCATAAATAACTATTTTTTTGTTATTTTATTTATCAGTAGGTAGTTGACTGATGTAGTGGTTACAAGTGCTGAAATCGTATGAATTCAGTTCGATGACAGATATGCTCAAGAAATATAAATTTTCAATAAAAAATGGGTTTCCATTTAAAAATAAAAAATTAATTGCGATTTACTGTTATTTTCGAAAAACCGGAAATAAGCCATGACATCACAGACCAGTTTTCTGAATTAATAAGGAAGATAAAAGCGGGTGTAATTATTAAACGGTTTGCTAATAACAAAAATCTTAGACTTTATACATTCCCATATTTTTTACATAAACGAATTTACAATAACATATTTTAAAAAAAATATTAACCAATACGACGGTCATTTTGACAGATGACAGAAAAAATTAATCACACACTTCTTGTCGGAAAACGTCCCAGAAATTCATATTTTCAATAAAAAAGGGGTTTTCATTTTAAAATTAAAAAAAAAATTGCGATTTTCAGTTATATCCGGGAAAATCGAAAGTAAGCCATGCCGTCATAGACCAATTGAATACAGTAAATGAAAGTATCTGTTATAAGCTTGTAAACAAAAAAGTTTTTATTCCGATATCTCAATTAACAACGAAGATAAAAGCGGATGGAATTATTAAACGGTTTGCTAATAATAAAAATGCTTAGATACGCCACTGGTATACAGTAAATGGCTCTTAATGATAATTTTGAAGCTTACAAAGATTTTATAAAGATTATACATTTCTATATTTTTTTCCATAAACGAATTAATGGTAACATGCTTAGGAACAATATTATCCAATATGGCGGCCATTTTGACAGCTGCCAGAAAATTTTTAATACACGATTATTATACAAAAATGTCCCCGAAATTCAAATTTAGAACAAAAAAGTGGGTTTCAATTTAAAAATAAAAAAAAAATTGCGATTTTCTGTTATTTCCGGAAAACCGGAAGTAAGCCATGACGTCACAGAATAATTGAATTAATCTTAAGAAAGTATTTGTTCCAGTCTTTTCAACAAAAAAAAATTATTTCGATATCTCAATAAATAACGAAGATAAGGAGGGGTGGCACTTTTAAGTGGCCCACCCTGTATTCTTTTTAATTACGAATTCTATTAAAAATTGTATTTGTCAGTATACGCAGAAATAGTCCATTAGTACCAAATCGAATTGGCGCTGCTGTCGCTCACGGAGCGAATACATAAGAGAGGATTTTAGAAACATAAAAGGCTCTTTAAATTTAATTTAATTTATGACCAATAACAACTTGGTTGAAGCTTAGAATCCGACACACAAGCAATTTTTTATTTGTTATTCTTATAGCTTTACACTGCCACTATTAAATATTTGTTATTTATTTTACTCTTAGCTCTAGGACTATAACCAATTACATAGATTTCGTTGCATAATAACAACATAAACGTTAACAAACTATGGAATAAAAAATTACAAACAAACGCGCACTCACTTTAGAGATACAAGGTTATTGTCGATTGTAGTAAATTATTTAATTCCATCTATATTATATCCAATCAGTCTTTTAAAATAGTTCAAGATGAGTGTTAAGCTAACGGAAGAACAGAACAAGTTGATCGAGAAAATAGCAAAAGATAACGGTTTTAGTGATTACGAATTGATAACCAACCCCGGATCCGAAAAAGGCGATAATTTTTTGGGAATCTTAACTACAGTTACTATCAAAAATGAAGATAAACGCCTGGAATTGATTTTAAAAGCAGCGCACCAAAGCGAAGCTTTTAGAAAAGCTGCTCCACTACGAGTGGCCTACATAAGAGAGATTTTTATATATGAACATATATTTGAAGAGTTTAAAAAATTCCAGGAAGAATACAACATTCCGAACCCTTTTGATAGTTATGTTAAAATGTATGCTGCTTCTACACTGGACGGGCATGAATGTTTTGTAATGGAAAACTTAAAAGTAGAAGGATTTAAATTGTGGGACAAGAAAGTCCCGATGAATGCGGGACACATATCAAAGGTTATTAAAGAATATGCAAAATTCCACGCTATTTCTATAGCACTGAAACACAAACATCCTGAAATTTTTAAAGAACTAACAAAAGATATAACCGATGCTGCCTTTCAAGATGGAAACAACGATGAAGAAAATAAAGTAAAATTTGAATCGTTTATTAAAGCTGTTTGTTCTACTGCTTCCAAAGCCTTTGAAGACGACCCTGTTCTGACAGGATATTTTAAAGAATTTGAATCTGCAATATATAATTTTGTTGCTACGGATTTTAAAGATCCTGAATATAAACAAGTTATAGTTCATGGAGATTGTTGGTGTAATAATTTTTTGTTCAAATACGATGTAAGTATTACATTTTAATGAAAATTATTTCGATTATTTCAATTATTTCGATTATTTCGATTATTTCGATTATTTCGATTATTTCGATTATTTCGATTATTTCGATTATTTCGATTAATTCGATTATTTCGATTATTTCGAATATTTCGATTATTTCGATTATTTCGATTATTTCGATTATTTCGATTATTTCGATTATTTCGATTATTTCGATTATTTCGATTATTTCGATTATTTCGATTATTTCGATTATTTCGATTATTTCGATTATTTCGATTATTTCGATTATTTCGATTATTTCGATTATTTCGATTATTTCGATTATTTCGATTATTTCGATTATTTCGATTATTTCGATTATTTCGATTATTTCGATTATTTCGATTATTTCGATTATTTCGATTATTTCGATTATTTCGATTATTTCGATTATTTCGATTATTTCGATTATTTCGATTATTTCGATTATTTCGATTATTTCGATTATTTCGATTATTTCGATTATTTCGATTATTTCGATTATTTCGATTATTTCGATTATTTTCGATTATTTTCGATTATTTTCGATTATTTTCGATTATTTTCGATTATTTTCGATTATTTTCGATTATTTTCGATTATTTTCGATTATTTTCGATTATTTTCGATTATTTTCGATTATTTTCGATTATTTTCGATTATTTTCGATTATTTTCGATTATTTTCGATTATTTTCGATTATTTTCGATTATTTTCGATTATTTTCGATTATTTTCGATTATTTTCGATTATTTTCGATTATTTTCGATTATTTTCGATTATTTTCGATTATTTTCGATTATTTTCGATTATTTTCGATTATTTTCGATTATTTTCGATTATTTTCGATTATTTTCGATTATTTTCGATTATTTTCGATTATTTTCGATTATTTTCGATTATTTTCGATTATTTTTGATTATTTTCGATTATTTTCGATTATTTTCGATTATTTTCGATTATTTTCGATTATTTTCGATTATTTTCGATTATTTTCGATTATTTTCGATTATTTTCGATTATTTTCGATTATTTTCGATTATTTTCGATTATTTTCGATTATTTTCGATTATTTTCGATTATTTTCGATTATTTTCGATTATTTTCGATTATTTTCGATTATTTTCGATTATTTTCGATTATTTTCGATTATTTTCGATTATTTTCGATTATTTTCGATTATTTTCGATTATTTTCGATTATTTTCGATTATTTTCGATTATTTTCGATTATTTTCGATTATTTTCGATTATTTTCGATTATTTTCGATTATTTTCGATTATTTTCGATTATTTTAGATTATTTTCGATTATTTTCGATTATTTTAGATTATTTTCGATTATTTTCGATTATTTTCGATTATTTTCGATTATTTTCGATTATTTTCGATTATTTTCGATTATTTTCGATTATTTTCGATTATTTTCGATTATTTTCGATTATTTTCGATTATTTTCGATTATTTTCGATTATTTTCGATTATTTTCGATTATTTTCGATTATTTTCGATTATTTTCGATTATTTTCGATTATTTTCGATTATTTTCGATTATTTTCGATTATTTTCGATTATTTTCGATTATTTTCGATTATTTTCGATTATTTTCGATTATTTTCGATTATTTTCGATTATTTTCGATTATTTTCGATTATTTTCGATTATTTTCGATTATTTTCGATTATTTTCGATTATTTTCGATTATTTTCGATTATTTTCAATTATATTCGATTATTTTCGATTATTTTCGATTATTTTCGATTATTTTCGGTTCATCGAAAATACATGCAATTTGAAATACAACTTTGTTTAAACTAGTGTTAGCCAAACTATTTCGAATTGAGATACGTCTTTTACACTGATAGATTCGCCTTATTTTACGGAATGTGCCTGTGGCTTAATTTAGAATATACGTATCGCGAGTTACAACCTTCTTCAACGGGGTGTAACAAAAGATGCTCCAATTTGAGAATAGCCAAATAAACGCGTTACTAAAGAAGCCCCATTATAATGTATTTAATTTAGTACAACGTTTAAAAAGTGAGTCTCGATACTATAATTTTCTCATATAAAGAAAAACAAATATGGAGACGCCTGAACAAAAAAGGCTATTCAGAAAATTTGATGATCGTATTTAAAAAACTATTACCTATATATTAGTACAACGTTTAAAAAGTTAGTCTCGATTATAATTTTCTCATAGAAAGACAAACAAATATAGAGACGCCTGAACAAAAAAAGCTATACAGAAAATTTGATGATCGTATGCAAAAAACTTTTAACTATAGTATATAAGGTGAACCGATATACAAAAAGGTATGTTATAAATTCTTCCTCAGATAGATTACCAAAAAATAAGTGGGTTTGGCTATATTTACCTATATCAAAAACTGACTCCCAACAAAGTTACAGGGCGTTAAACTAACATTTAGAAAAACGTTTTTCTTTTCTAAAAAGTTTGCTGTTGCGATTTTTTCTTTGAAATTTTTGCCAGTGCTGTAGATTTGAAGGCACAATATTTTAAGCAGAAAAAAAATAAAAGCGACGCCTTTAAAAAAGTTGGGGGGTTGGGTACCTTTTAACTCTCCAATATTTTTTTTTTAAATAAAGAAACTTGCTTTATCGATTTGAAAATCAGACACAACTATGAATTTTTAATTTTTTTTTATAGCAAAATGAACTTTGTATCTTTCTTAGTTAACGAGCTATTTACAATTTTTTAACTGAATTTCTAGAGCAATTCGTATGTCCTGGACTAAACAAATCAAAAAAACTAAGAGTAGGTCAGGAGTTATTGTACAAAAAAAAACGCATAAAAAATTAGGTGGTGTTCCTAGGGCTGTGTTTGAGCCGCCCCTACAAAAACTACCTCTTTTATTTATATTTTTGTAAAGAAGGTATTTATAATATTGTATTGGCGCTATAAAAATAAAAATAGACGTTAGTTTGGAAATGTATTTATTAAATTTAATAATAATTTGAAACATTATTTTTTTAAGTAAACAATTAACAAAAAATTAACAATTAAAAATAAATACTTGACAATATTATAAATATTTTATAAACTATTTAATTTAGTAAATGTTCAACATGTCCTCCTTCTTCTTCAATACACAAATATAAATAAAGGAGGTAGTTTTTGCAGGGGCGGCTCAAGCACAACCCTAGGCACATCACTGATTTTTATAAGCCTTTTATACAATAATAACTCCTGACCTATTCTAGTTTTGTTGATATGTTAAGTCCAGGATGGACGAATTGCTCTAGAAATTCAGTTAAAAAATTGTAAATAGCTCGTTAACTAAGAAAGATACAAAATTCATTTTTTTATAAAAAAAAATTTAAAATTCATAGTTCTCTTTGATTTTAAGATCGATAAAGCAAGTTTCTTTGTGTCAAAAAAAAAATACGGAGGTGTTAAAAGGTACCCAATCCCCCAACTTTTTTTAAGGGGGTCGCTTTAATTTTTTTTCTCCTTAGAATATTGGGATTTCAAATCTACAGCACTGGTAAAAAATTCAAAGAAAAAATCGCAACAGCAATCTTTTTACACCAAAAAACGTTTTTTTGAATGTTAGTTTAACGCCCTGTAACTTTGTAAGGAGCCAGTTTTTGATATAGGTAAATATAGCCAAGTTCACTTATTTTTTGGTAATCTATTTGAGGAAGAATTTATCACATACCTTTTTGAAACGCCCTGTATATATATATATATATATATATATATATATATATATTTAAATTTATTCAGAGAACCTTCGATGATATTATAGCATAATTTAATATGTAAATTTGTGCAATACATAATTTTTTAAATAATAATTTTTAAAAATAAATAAAAGAATATATAGGACAATATCTTTTTAAACTTTTTAAATATATTACAACTGGTATACAGTATGCCTCAAAAAGTTTTCACCATATGAAAAACTTTTTTATTATTGAGTTTTTTCAAAAAATTACTTTTGATAAAAGTTAATGCTTCATATAAAACATGATATCATATTGTTATCCTGCTCCCTGTAGTAGCCTGCGGTTCTTATAGGAAACGTAAGAATACAGAAAAAAGTTCGATATCAGCCATAACCCTACAGTGTGCTGCGGTCGTCATGAGTAAAAGTACAATTAAAATAAGAAGATAGAATAGTCTAGAAATGTCATTCCCTGTCAAGAAACATTTGGACGGTGCGAGATGGTTCTAGAAGGCTCAGGTGAGTTACATAAGTCGATGATCCTGACGTCAAAATTTCAGTTGGGTTGAAATAAATTAAGTTACCAAAAACCAGTCTAAAATTGTAGTTAGAAATAGAGGCTTCATTGCGAGGTGATGTCTACAGAGAGGACTGTTGTCACCTCTAAGGTGGAAGATGGTCCTCGACACTCTCATCCACCACCATTTTAATGATCAGTCACTACACAATAGCGTATGCAGATGGCTTGATCCTTCTGCAAACAGGGAATTTTGAGAACATACTCTGCGAAAGAAGGCAAGTAGCTCCCAAAATTATAGAACAGTGGTGCAAGAGAACAGAAAACGTCCTTTTCACCAGAAAAGGGATGAAAATGCAATTAAAACCTCAAGAGTTTCTAGTACCTAGGTCTCATCTTTGACAGCAAGTCAACATGGAACTCACAAATATCATTAGAAAATAGAGTCAAAAGAGCATAAATTGTTTATGAACAATGCCGCCAAATCGTGGGGCACACCAGGGTTTCTCTCCCAGAGTCGTCGCATGGGCTAACACGGCCATCATAAGATCTATGCTAACATACGGTGCAGTTATCTGGATACCGAAACCGTAATAATTGCAGCTAACCGCAAAAAAAAAACTAGAATAAATTGAAAGGACAGCATGTCTCAACATAACAGGAGCTACGAAATCTACACCAAACAGTGTTATGGAAGTCATTATTAGTCTCACGCCCCTGATATTTACATCAAACAGGTTTCTCCGATGGCAATGACAATCCTTCGCACGGTTGG